TTTATTTTTGCACAAAGTTCCTCGTTATATATTATTTACTGCTGCAAAAATGTATTCTGGAATCAGAATATAATTGTCGTTCTTCGGAAATCGGTTTCTATTAAAAAATACTGCAAATTGAGTTACTTTTGCTGAACTTTTCCGTTTTGATTTTTACAATAAATGTATGGATTAGTAATGTACAAAGTAATTAAAGTGGCGAAAAAGAGTCGTAACGGTTTTTTAGTTGGTGGAAAAACAACGAGAATTTTTTTTGTCTGGCGCTACACTAAATCTCGATACGAGAAAAAAGCAACTTTTGGCATTGAGGAAACTTTTTGTGGATGAGTGCGACGCTTTGACAAATGCTGTTTATATGGATCTGCGAAGGGTAATTTGAAGCTTAGGTCACTTTCAAAATTGTCTTAATTTTGTGACGTTCATATGAGATTCTGAAAAATGATGTGAAATGATCGGTGATGATATTTCTTGATTCTTTCATTCGTTTCTTTTATTTTAAGCGTCCGGAGCTGACTCACAGCATCGAGATTGGCTGCGTCATAGTTGAAATTGATTATATTTTGGAGCACTTGAAGGATTGGGCTTCACCGAAACATGTGAGTGGGTTAGAAGTTTCAAATTTTTACGGATTGGTACCCTATTTTTTATTTCAACCTTTCTTTTTAGTCAATTTGCTTAGGAGATCAAGTTTTTGTTCTCATTGAAACTGGGAAAGATATTGGTTATGACCTCTGCATAAATTTCCTATTTATTTTCATTTCATATTCATCTCATTAAATTCATTTCATTTTTTTTTTCAGGTCGAAAAAACATTTTTGTCTCTCTTAGACACTCCTTTAATTGTTAAAGACCCATATGGTGTGGTTCTAATTATTTCTCCCTGGAATTACCCCATCAATCTGCTTTTTATGCCGTTAATACCTGCTATTGCAGCAGGTACTGTTGAACTTCTTTCACTTTTATTCTTCTGCCAGTTACATACTAGAAATGTTTTCATTTTGTGTGTCATTTTTTCGCATAATTATTCGTTTTATTCTACAGGTAACACTGTGATTCTGAAGCCTTCAGAGTTGGCTCCTAATACTACAAGCCTTATTTCTGAGCTAATCACTAAATATTTTGATCCAGTAAGTTGACAGGATAATTTTATCTCTTTAATTTGTTCACTTTAAATGAATTTCATTTCAAGCAATATCTCGCCGTTGTCTGTGGTGGTGTTAATGAAACCACAGAGCTGCTGAAGGAACGTTTTGACCATATTTTTTACACCGGTGGACCAAAAGTAGCGAAGTCTATTATGGTTGCTGCAGCGAGAAATTTAACTCCTGTTACTTTTGAACTTGGAGGCAAATGGTATTTGTTGATTAGTAAGATTTTTTGTTGAAGAAAACATTTTGAATTTATAACTGCATACTGGAAAACGTAACGATAAAGTTACCTGAAAATCGAAAACCGATGCCTTATAATTCTTTTTAGCAGACATGTTGGGTTTTAGTGATGAACAGTGCTTTTTTTGGTATGGTGGGACCTGCTTACAAAATTGTAATTTATAGTAGGAAAGTTTTGCACTGTTTATGCTCCAATTACCTCATACCGAGGTATTTCTTAACGGCTTTTTTAACTGCCAGTACTAATGTTTTCCCAGCTTAGTCATTATTTAGTTTCTTTCCTTTTTGGTTCTTTATTATATTCTCCTCTTTAGTCCGGTGGTTGTGGAGGAAGACGCTAATATCGAATTAAGTGCCAAAAGGATTGCTTGGGGAAAATGGATGAATTGTGGCCAAACCTGTCTTGCACCAGACTATATATTGGTTAAATCAACTGTAAAAGCCAAATTGATTGCTGCACTACAATCTACCGTTGTGGAGTTTTATGGTGAAGTTCCCCAAAAAAGTGAAGATTACAGCAGGATTATAAATCAAATGCATTTTGAGTAAGTCATGCTTTAACATTTCAGGTTTTTCTTTGGTACTAGAGCCAAATCCTCAAGGAATAGGAAGATTTTTTGTTCCAGGAATTATTGCAGATTGTAATTTGAATTCAACTTATTTTTCCACATTAAAATGATAAGTCATTTTGTGAACTATTGTTTGTGATTTCGTAATCATTTTTAGTCGATTGAATGCGATTTTGGAGAAATCAGCTGCCTCCATCGTTTATAAAGGAGGAGAACCTGATCGTGGTGACTTATTTATACCCCCCGTCATTCTTGAAGCGTCTCCAGATGACCCCGTAATGCAAGAAGAGGTGATTTCTTTGGCATTTCTGTCTTTTACGCCAGTTTATTTTTTTTTTTTCTAATTCAACAATTGGAGCTGTAGATATTTGGACCTTTATTGCCCGTTGTAACTGTTGAGGGACTCAGTGAAGCCATAGATTTTATCAAGTCAAGGGAAAAACCGCTTGCAGCATATATATTTACAAAGAATGATAAAGATGCAGAACGGTTTTACACGGAAACCTCGAGTGGTGCTGTTTGTGTGAACGACGTAATTATGCATTTAACAGGTTCAGTAATGCTTTTTGAATACGCTTTATAGAAAAAATAGTTTAGTTTCTTAAACAACTTTTGAAGGAGTTGTATCGAAGTTAATTATTTGTGCAATTAAGAATAGGAGTAGTGTTGAAAGCCATAGTAGCAGTAAGAAGTTTTTCATATCTTTCCACTTAGTATTGTTTTTATGCGTTGGAACTTTCAGTGGATACGTTGCCATTTGGTGGCGTAGGGAACAGCGGAATGGGCCGTTATCGTGGAAAATTTGGTTTTGATACTTTTACCCATGAGAAGGCTGTACTAAAAAGAGCCTTCTTTACGGAGCGGCTCATAGAGTTCGTTTCAGTGACCTTCTTTTGCAAACTGTATCTTAGTTATGTGGCAAATATTTTACTTAAAAAAGGTCTTTAGAGCTCGGTATCCTCCTGGAACCCCTGAGAAGTTTAACCGGTTAAGGATTTTAACAGGCAAGCGTCGAGGTCTTCCATTATGGGCAAAGAAGGTCCTGTATGTGCCAGTCCTTCCTCTGATCCTTGTATCAGTTCTGATAGGGTTTTTCCTCCAGGTTAGTAAGCAGTTCTGTCAAGTCTGAATTAGTGTGCCGTAAATACTTTTTAAAAAGCAAACATTGTTCCTTGTGGTTTAATGTTTGGGCTTTGCCTTTTCGTTTAGGCTTGAGGAATAAGGTTGCACGTCTTTTTTATCCTTTGTTTCCATGTTACCTTTTGAAACAGATACAAATTTCTTTCAAGTAAATCCAGTTACTGTTGATTTAAATGTTTTTCTTTTATTTTTTGTTTTGTGTTACTTTGTACTTTTGTGACTGAGTTGCTTTTTCAGAGATACGGTTTGAGATGAACGTGTAGATTTATAAACGGTTCCAATCATCGGGTTCACTCTTGTGGAATTTAGGGTATCTGACTGTTAGTTTTTGTGAAATAAATGAACGTTTAATATGTTAACTGGAGGGATTTTGTTTACATTTTGGCAGCAAAATTTATTTATGAATTTTTTGAGGCGGTAAAGGTAAATTTTATAGGCGCACTTGTTGCGTTTAAAATTTTGGCAGTACTTATAATTCTAGTCGCAGCATTTTGTTGTTATCACTGTACATCCTGTCTTTACATTTTATAGGCTGACTTTTGAGCGGTTCTTATTGTTTATGTAATTATCCAGTGAACAGTTGGTGTGCCTAATTTTTTTGTTTATTAATTGAATCACTTATTTACTTAAATCTGTGATGTTCGTTCATTGAAAAAAAATAATAGATTGCAAAAATTCATAAAGTTATTTGATTGATGTTGGGTATAACGCAAGATCGTAATAGTACAGAAATGTCCCATAAAGTGACGAGTGTATGGTACTGCAGTTCATATTCCTGCGTTTATTGTCCAGTTGATGTTCTTCTTGATTACTTACAGTCTCGGGAAATTCATAACTGTAGAAACGCTTTTATAGTAAGCGAGATGGACAATGGGATGATTAATTGTTGAGGAAAAATTTTATCTTATAGTGACGGTAGATGCTGTCAACGAATTACTGGACTTGTGGTTTTTAAACCGACTTCAGAAGCTGTCTTTTTAATTGGCCCCGATTCCCAGCTGTTTTCAGTCGTAGGTCTGTTTGGTCAAGTTTGTCGTTTTTGGAAGCTTGCTAGTGGTATTGGACGCAAGCTTTTAGTGTGTTATAATCGCAGGAATTGAAGTGACTCAAACCGGCCCAGTTGACGGCATGCAGAGAGAAAAGCGAGTAGAAACGTCCGCTGCCGCTCACTGCTATCTGCTGGTGATCAGTAGTGGCAGCGGACTGAGTACCATCATTGCGAAGGGCATTGAAGCAAATGGAGTAAGGCCAGAAGGCGGGCAAATCTGTTCGTTTGAATTTTTGTGGGAAAGAGCGCCATCGGGGTTCTTTTAACGCTGTTTGCATCTCTTTGAATGAGGCAGCAGGAAAGCCGCCTCCGTAAACGTTACCTTTAAAGTGGCAAGCAATAGCAGTCGTTGAAAAACACATGGTTATTGTCTGAAGCGGGGGTATGATGTTGTGGTCTAGTTGTTGTTACGGGTTTGCCGTAGCAATTGCTGTAATGGACTGGTGATTTCTTACAGACGACATCGGCTGGTTGATGGTTCTACTGATTTGTTGAAGCGTCTGGTTTAGATTTTTTTTTCGGCAGAGGTAATACGTTAGCGTCGTTACTGAGCGACCGGACGGTTGCTGGCGTATACAATTGGATAATGATCTATTTGGCGGTGAATCTGAATGTCTGATGATTGGCTGTTGCAAGTTTAACAGCATTTTGTTTCCAGATTGCTATTTCTATTCCTCCCTCTTCAAAAATGGAAAAGAAGTTTTTAAGCAGAAAACTAATATATGATAATCTTATTTTATTTGGTTTTGATATTTTTATCTTGCTTTTATTTTGGACGAGAAGGTCAGTGACGAGAGGCTGCAAATTTCTGCATAATCATTTTGCTTGCATGAGTTTTTAAAAAAAACGGTTTGTTTTTTGTCTTTTTTTTTTTCGCCTTTAAACCATGTATAGCAATATATGGCAACATCGATTAGACGAAAGATGATTAGTTGTTGTTTTACCATTCTTACCATCAAATGTTTGCTTCCATTGATGCTTTCTATATATATAATATTATATGATAATTTTGATGGAAATACGTGTGAATGACAGTGAAGACATAAAAAAAGAAGAGCTAATATGGGAGACCGGCCAACCAAAAAATTTTTTTTCGCTATAGACACAATAGAGCCAACATTATCAGCAACTGAATTTTTGCGATCCTGTGGATAGCAGTTTGGTGCGGTTGACATCTGTCACTGAGACAGTCGCGAGATCGATTTCAAGGACTTGGTGGCCACCCGGTTGGTGATCACCTTAACCTCATCCTTCTAATTGACAGACTCATTAGGTTTCCCTAACACCCTGCGAAGTACTCCAGTTATTGGTTGCATTTTTATACTCCATTCTTTACGTCATCGATACATTTGGCTGCAAAGGCATTTACCAAATCGTTTAGTGATGCAACACGCTTACTGTAGGTGACCGCGATGTCTTGAGGCGAACTGATAGGCGTAGGTTACGGGCGAACGCTATTAAATAGCGTTTCTTATGGCTACTGCTTCGGTTCTTTATCACTTTTTTTTTTCTATAAGCTGATATAAAACGATATGTAAGTGGAGTTGAGCAGTCCAGATACATCGTGTTTCGGCAAAACTGAATAAATCTTTGAGATGGGTGAGTGAATTTTATTTAATTTGACTTTCGATAAACTTAACGGTTTTTATCCCGTAACAACAGCGGTTGTATTTTTTTGAATGTTTTTTTGGTTGGTACGTAATTTTACATCACGGAAGTTTGGTTGGGAAAAAAAAAAA